AAAGGTCTCCTGTAGGGCTGTGCAATATGGGCAAAAGAAAGCTATCATGATTTTCTTGAACAGTATTGAGATTTCGAGTTTAATCATGATTTTGACAGACATTTTACAGTGTGAATCTGAAACGTATTTCCACAAGAAAACAATTAGATCTTAATCAAAGGCCTGTAACAAGTCTCTAAAACAGATATAAAAATATCACGTAGTAAAGGTGTAACAAATTGTCTCTAGCATAGACCTATGGCAAAACAAATAAACAGACTAATGTTTGTGATAGGGGTGTCAAAAATAATTGTTTTTTTGGTGCACTGCGATGCAGACGCTGACAATTCGGAATCGGTTCAGTAATAATCATAACCGGTTATTACTGACGTCATTTACCTCATATGCGCTCTGTTGCGAGGGAGGCGATCGCGAGTATTTACAGCGCTTTAACTACTTAAAACTCATAAACTGTGCACAATTTCACTGTGTGTGTTTGCTGGATCAGTCTTTCACTGACATATACAACAATAGCCCCTATTTCACTGAGATCGAGAGAATGAAAGTAGCCTATCTCTCGCTATGTCTCTGTCTCTCTTTCTCTCGGTCTCTCTCTCTCTCTCTCTCTCTCTCTCTCTCTCTCTCTCTCTCTGTCTCTCTCGCTCTCGCTCTCTCTCTCTCTTTCTCACACACACACAGTGGCCCATTTGACCTGCTGGCGTGGCTTTTCTTCTCTTCTCGGCTGTTTTACAGCGTTACTTTTGCATCCAGAAACGAGCGCGTGTCTGCAGAGTTTTCTCCACTGTGTCTATCATACATCAGCTGTGAGATCGCCACTGCCGTCTGCCGCTTATCAGCATCACTCATCTGTGAAGAACGCAGCGGGCAAGAGCCAATCGCAACCGTTTTTTTTTTTTTTTTTTTTTTGAGGGTGTGACCAATCAAAGAGGTGTAAGAGAACTAGACAAGGATCAGAGAGTGAGTTGGATATTTATACTTGTTTATATTAATTGCTTAATGCTCGTTTTGTTTAAAGTTACAGTTTATATATCTGACTGTTTGTATTAAATGACAAAATTGTATTACGAATAGTATATGAATATAAATATATTCATACATTTTAATACAAGAAATGCTGCTGTGAAGAAAATATAAAACTGTGTATGGAAAGCACCGTCAATGCACCGTGATGCACCAAAATATCGAATTGAACCGAATCGATGGCATGATAATCGTAACCGAACCGAACCGTGAGACTAGTGTAGGTTCACACCTCTAGTGAGTGTGTGAGTGAGTGTTTGAGTGAGTGTGTGTGTGTGTGTGTGTGTGTGTGTGTGTGTGTGTGTGTGTGTGTGTGTGTGTGTGTGTGTGTGTGTGTGTGTGTGTGTGTGTGTGTGTGTGTGTGCGAGTGAGTGTGCGAGTGAGTGTGCGAGTGAGTGTGCGAGTGAGTGTGCGAGTGAGTGTGCGAGTGAGTGTGCGAGTGAGTGTGCGAGTGAGTGTGCGAGTGAGTGAGTGTGTGAGTGAGTGTGTGTGTGAGTGTGTGAGTGTGTGTGTGAGTGTGTGTGTGAGTGTGTGTGTGAGTGTGTGTGTGAGAGTGTGTGTGAGAGTGTGTGTGAGAGTGTGTGTGAGAGTGTGTGTGTGTGAGAGTGTGTGTCTGTGTGTGTGTGTCTGTGTGTGTGTGGTCAAACTAAAGTAAGGCTCCTATGTTCTGCTTGACCCCATATCTTTTTGCTTGTACTTATCTTTGTCCACAGTTTTTTTGCACAGATGCACAGATCAAAGAACTCTTTGTGAAGCTGCAATAAAATAGGCCGTTCACATATCGTGTCTTTTGCGCGCACACTTGCTTGCGCACCCATATTGGGATATGCATACAGGTGCACCGGGTTATAAACATGTAAACTTTTCAAAATGCAGCACTGCGACATTCTCACATAACAAGATCTGACCAATCCGCTTCGTACTTTGTATGGAATATACATATTTCAATAGACTAATTACTTCAGATTAACACAGGACACCCAGACAACCAGTGCTTTTTAATTTTCCCCATTAATAAAACTTGTATCGGAACTGCAGCAAAGTTTTGTTAGTTTGTTATTTTGCATTGAATATTATTTAAATACGCAATATTTGTCGGGTTTTACAAATTTCCTGCAATACATCTTCCTTCCTCTATCCAAAGTAATCCCACACCACAGATGTTGTGCTGAACTCATCATCCTTGTTCATAAAGCCTATTTGTCATTAAGCTCAGTCTCCCTGTTTAGGCCTGCTGCCTTATGATTGGTTCAAATAGCATGCTGTAGGAAAACTGTGCTGTAAGACGATTGAGAAATTGCGCATGTATAAATGGTGATTTTGATATGATTTCAATTAAATCGAACACCCCTAGTCTCCAGACATCTTCAAAAACATTGTTTTTTTTGTTTTTTTTTACAAAATATGTGATCTTTTCTATTGAAATGTTTGCTGCCATTTCTTTGAGCAGTTATTTTATATCCTTAATGCACGTCACTGGTATTGTTGTAAACAGTTCATGCATTTGTAATCATAGGCTTTGTTCACATTCCAAGACCTAATGCTTAAATACGATTTTTTTTTTTGGATCATATTTTTTGCATACCTGTTTACACTTTAGTTTTAAATGTAACCAATAACAGATTTCCAAAAACAATTATGTAAATGTCACAAAAACTCCAGCACAACCATTCATACTGCCATTCATTTTCTAATGTTTAGTATTCAAAACATTACATCAATATTGAATTTAATACCACATATAAAAGTGTCACAAATCGGAATCGAAAACATCAGATTCCATGCAGTTTGTGCTGTTTATACTGTCATGCAAATGTCTGATTTGGGATGCTGTGTGAATGTAGCCTATAATGGAATGATGCTTCTCAATTCTACACTTTTCAAAACTTTGTACGGTAATTAGGGCTGCACGATTCTGGCTAAAATGTGAATCAAGATTTATTTATTTATTTTTTGCTTAAAATCAAGATCATGATTTTCTCACGATTCTGCAGATGTAAAATAAAGGTTAATATTGGTAGACTTTTATTATTGTTAATTCTCAAACATATGGTAAAACAACAACAACAGTAATAATAGGCCTATGTGTAGGTCTAGTGTTGGTTAAAATGCCAAGTTTTGTATAGTCATTATGGTGGACTTGAACAGACTTTCAATATGTCCTGTTTATTTATTCACAGTAAAATGATGACAATACAATATAACTTATTCATAACTCTGAAATTTAATTATTATGTTTGAGTCATTAACTTGTCATTTGTCAATGACAGCATTGTAAGACCATTTGTTTTCACTGGTAAATTGCGACATTTGTCATTATCGGATTCCTTCTTGCATTATATTCAACATTATATAGGCTAGGGTAGTGATACTGACACAGTAAACATTTATTTTCATGCACAACTCTTTGTGTTCACTATGAAAGACAAAAAACATATCAAATGCTTGTTGTAATCATAACTGTAAAATGCGATATGATCATTTAAATGAGTGGTCCCCAACCTTTTTATTTCCGCGGACCGGTCAACGGTTGTCAATTTTTTTCAACAGACCGGTGTGGGCCGGGGTGGGGGGTCTTCACGTAAACACAGCTGCTGCGCTCGTGCATCCAGGTTAATCATTAACAACTCAGTGTGCATGCGCTAGTTGCACTATCGCGGTCTGATTATGTTTCAATAAAGGTTTATATGCATCAAATACATAACATCTGTGCCAAACATTTCAACTGACGAACATATTAACAATAATACAACCGTATAGCTGAATTAATGTATGCATTGGCATGTTACAGCCCTAATGAGTATGATTATGTGAAACTCCATATAGATACATCTTGCAATGATTTCGGGTACTTAGCGATGCACGTACACATATATGGACAGTCCTTAATAGCTTTGCTGATTTGGACTCTATAATACCTGTTTTATACCTTTAAACCACCACTGAGCTATATTCTAGCGATCGTTCTTCCCGCTCCATGGTGGATTTTGGCATAGTCCATTTCATGTGAGATGGCGGGGGTGAGTGGAAAAAACCAAGTCGCGGGGGGAATATTTTCTACAGAAATAAATTTTGATTTCTTTTGTGTTACCAATTGTTCCACAGACCGGTACCTGTCCGCGGCCCAGTGGTTGGGGACCACTGATTTAAATGATGTGCGCGCCATTGACAGCGCCTACTAGGGTCACAGACGATCCTCACAGAATTTGGTGTAACACCACCTTCAGTTTTACTTCCCCATGCAAATTATTCTTTCAGCGTGGCTCTCAAACGATGACTCTGCGCAACAAACTGAACGTTATTTACAACTTTATTACTTGTTATTCACAGCATATGCAGGTTCTGTTCACTAAAGTAGCCATCCGTGGCGTGCACGCACGCATTCTCAGTAGTGAACAAACAGTTCACGGTCACCTCATGTGATTTTGCAGCTGCGAATACATCCTTATATTTAGACAGAAATAACATTTCTGGGTTGATTTTACCTTATAAGTACAGTGTGTGACACTTTTAACACCATTTGAAGGTGTCCATGTTGCTGTGAAGACTTGTGCGTCCCCCTTTACTCGTCTGTCTTGACCTTGAAAATATAATTGACTGAATCGTAGAAAAGCTGAATTAAGATCTTGTGTAGGGTTGAATCGAGATCTTGATCTTTTTTCGATTAATCGTGCAGCACTAATGCAAATTTGATCTGTCACAATTTCTGTTTTATGCCAATGTCAAGTAATATAAATAAGCTTTCTCTAGTTAGCTGAATCCAACTTGAACCCATTGCAATTTTTTTTGTGGGGAAATCCTTTAGATTTCTGTTGCAATGACTGGATTATGCAGACAATGTTAAATGTTACAACAGCAGCTTCACAGACATTGGCTAAATTTAATCACTCCAAGTGAGACTTGAGATAAAAGATAAACAACTGTTTGAATTAATATCTCAAATGTTTTAATAACCGATTTCTCTTTCTCTCGTCCATTAGTGGTCTTTATGTGCTGCTGAGGGTTAAACTGGCACTATGGCATTATATGCGCAACCGAAACACCATACCCTCCATCTTTGCACAAACTGTGGCTCGGCACCCAGACAAGCCTGCGCTTGTGTATGAAGCCACTGGGGAGACGTGGACTTTCTCCCAGTTAGATCAAATCTCCAATGCTGTGGCCCACTGGGCACTGAGCCAAGGCTGGACCTCAGGAGATGTGGTGGCGCTGTTCATGGAGAGCAGACCCCTTCAGGTGGCACTCTGGCTGGGCCTGGCCAAAGTCGGTGTGGAAGCTGCACTCATTAACTTCAACCTGCGAAGGGATTCGCTCCTGCACTGCGTGGGTGTTTCAGCTTCCAGGGGAATTGTTTTTGGAGCAGAGCTTGCTGACGGTGAGTAGAAAATGTGCCCTATTTTTCATGGCCAAACCCACTTGCAGATTTTTTACAAGCAAAATGACAGATTTCAAGTTTTTTGTTTCCAAAAACAGAAGTATTTATTATATTATTAAAAACAGAAATGTGTATTTGCTTTATTTTTTTCTGAAATGTCTGCAGTGATTTAAAATTAGAGGCAACCAATGAATTTAATTCAAGATTCACACAAAGGTGCCACATATGTTAGTTCTGGACTGAGTTATACTACTTTGTTGAGTGATCAGCGCATGCCTTGCTGCGTACGCTGTAAAATGTAGTAAGTTGAACTTACTTTATTTGCCTTCATTTCAAAGTAAAGTAGTGTATTAATTTTAAGTGAACATAAGTTGAAACTGGTTGTATTTACAACTTAAGTAAACTTCAGTACCGTTGACTCAAAATAATTAGTTGTTTTAGCAACTTACTTCTGTTCACATTACTTGGAAAATATTAAAAACCAATTTTCTTAAAAATACTTAATAAGTTGAACTAACACATTTAAAAACAAAACAAAAATAAATACCTTACTTACTGCCAGGGCCGTTTATATCGAAGTTGATATTTAGCTATAACATCAAATTTTTAGAAGGTTAGCCCAACGCTCAACCACCAACTTGGAGGACCAGGACATAAACTACAGACAAAAAGGGTTTTCCCATTTCACCTATAGCTCATGTCTGCGTTATTTGAACTGTAGGGGAAACCGAAGCACCTGGAGGAAACCCACATGAACATGGGGAGAACATGCAAACTCCACACAGAAAAACCAACTGGCCCAGCCGGGGCTCGAACCAGCGACCTTTTTGATGTGAGGCGACATCGCTACCGCTTCGCCACTGTGTAGCCCTAAAAACCAATACCTACACTTTTATATAAAACATTTTTGTATTATATAGCATCTGTGCTAAAAACAACAACAACAATATAACACTTTAAAACAAATATTTTTCAACCAAGGTTTAAAGTAATAATAATAATAATAATAATTATTATTATTATTATTATAATTATATAATTATTAATATTATAATAATAATAATTATTATTATTATAATTTATATAATATTACTTATATAATATTATTAGATTATTTCTTATTATATAAATGTTATTTTATTATTATTTATATATAAATATTTTTATTATATACTTTGTTATATAATCATAATCATATTTTATTAATATAATATATTATAATATATTAATATATTTAGCTATTTTGAACATCAAAAAATTGAAAAGGCTGTCAGATCTATTATGTTTATGTCAGATTATGCTTAAGTTTTAATTCTTCCACCTGTTTCCTCAGTTCCCTCATCTCCATCATTAACGTGCTTTTGAAACATGGCCACACAAAAGTTTTAAATACATATTATTGTAAATCAAAATTACTTTAATTTATTTAGTTTAACAACCAATGTGCGGAAAAGTTGGGATAACTTGTTTAAATATTGTAAGGTGAACAATTTTATTCACAATAAGTTAACTGTATTTAATTTTATTAGTGAGAACAGCTATTACTTTTTCCAGTGTATCTGTGCAGTTTTACTACTAAGTTCTGATTTTGTCACTTTTTCAATGACATTTCCTAAGCACTAGCAGGCAGTGTGGTTGCTATGTTCCTCTGTGTTAAGTTTTTTCGAGTGTGTTTAGATTTTACATCGGAAATACGTGAAATGGTAACTTGCTTTAGAAGTAGTTAAAGCTCACAATAATTTAAGCAAGGGAGTCAGGAACAGGTGAATGTGCAATAATTTAAATAATGAAGTAAATACAAAACAAAATGATTAATTCATTTAAATTGAATCATATCAGAATATGAAGTAAAAACATAATTGTCTGACCATAGCTTTGTGAAATTATGCTACAAAAATATGTCTGCTCAAAACAAAAATGTTAGACGGCCAGCATAGAAATTTGAGCAGCCTGTGCATCTTGTTAGACAACAGGAAGAATAGCACTTCTTTTAGGGTTGTGCTTTAAATATGGTTTTAGTGTGGTTTATACTGAGATCATGTAAAAAGAAAACACTCTCTATACTTTTCCAAAGACACTGGGTTCCATTCATAAACACCTTGTGAAACCCCCACAGCAATATTTAGGACTTTATTCTCGTACTTCATTTGTCAGAAATACTTAGCTGCTCACTTTGTCATAAGCAACATTTAATGTATTTCCCTGTTGATTTTTCAAATACAACTATAGAGTGAGAGTCAAATGAGCAAGGATATTGAATAGAGCACAATTTATAGTACATTAAGTACTAGGGCTGCCACGGTTCTCAATATAATATTGAACTGTTTGGTACAACCTCCACAGTTTAATAAGCGCTTGTGAATTGCGGTTTTCTTGGTGTTGCATTTAAATAGTTTATGTGCGTTTTATATCTCCCCGAATTGACTGTGTGTGCCTGTAAGTCCATGAGCTGAGATGAGGAAACTCCTCCCCGCGAGTAAATATCCAATCACTACGCTCTAAAGTTATGGGGCACTTAACCATCATTCCACACTTTAACTTTGCGAGCGGCGGTGAAGTGAGGTTGAGGCAACAGTACAAGGAAGCGCCGGCAAAGTGAGGCAACAGTACGAGAAGGCTCTGGCTTCTTTCAAATCTGTGGTGTGAGGACATTTCGGTTTTGCCCGTAAGTATAATGCCAATAAAAGAAAAAATTTTGAACAAAAAATAACAGTGTGCATGCATTGTTTTACACATATAACCATGACTGCACATCTGCAGTGCCATCACTCACCAATATCACTCTCTGAAGGCAGGATAGCAGAGAAGGTAATAAAGTCCTCCAAATAGCAACAATCCTTTGCTGAATATTTCAAGCAAACATAACTGTAACTACAACTGTTTTCTGAGACACACATAAAAAAAAAGCCAGTGTCAAGCCATGAGAACGGAACTGAGCTAAAAACTGTGTTAAAAAACCGAGGTATGTATTGAACCATGAGCTAACTGTATTGTTGCATCCCTATTAAGTACAGATGATTATCCTAACTTTAGATAGAAATCTGTGTAAATGAGCAGATATTATTCTTTTCTTTTTCAAGACTTTGAAACGTATAAACCCCAATTGATAACCTAAACCTGAGCTATAATAAAAACTGCCCGATCACATATATTTGATGTACAATCTGATTAAAATGGAAGGCATGATCAGTTTCAAGGCCTTCAAATTTTTTTGACTGCTGCTGTGCACCTTTATGCCCAACTAAGCCAATATGTGTACTCTGTTTCCATCAATTGATGGAAATATTTTGCTCCTTGCGACTGCAATCTTTGAAAAGCAGCTCCACCAACCACAAGCAGGTAAGCTGGTTGTGGTCGGTGGAGCTGCTTTTCAGTGGATCATTTTTCAACAGCTGCAGTCTTATTAAACTAAACTGAATCAGTTCATCTAAGTTTTAATCTAATATATAATTACTCCAGAATTCTACCTGCCTGACATGATGAATGTGTCCCACAAAGTATATTGCTATTACTTTTTTTTCCTGTTCATCCATTTAAAAGCATCTTTGACACAATCTACATTTTATAAAGTGCTATAAAATAGGGATGCAACGATTTATAGATTTTGGTTGTACGATTATAGTCTGAGGAATAATCACAATTCAAAGTTTCATAGTTGTCACAATTAATATGCATTTATTAATTTAAAAAAAAACTACTAGTTTAGAAAATCACATGAAAAGCTTAATTACAATTTTAAAGTGTTATTTATTGCTGCTCAGTAACCAAATAATAAAGCACAAATGAATATTAAAAAAAACAATATTCAATTTCTCCTTGGATTTAAAATTAAGTGGCAAAAATGTTTTTGGCATTCAAACATTAGTAATTTTGCACTGAAAATAAATGACAGAACAATAAATAAAAAATAACTAAAAATAAAAATTTTGGTATTGGTATTGGTCTAATGTAAATGTAAGCTACATATTAGCTAAGTATTTTTCTTTTAAAAGAGAACAAATGTAGTCAAAGGCTGCTGAACCTACTGTATGTCTTAAAGGAATTTTTTGATCAACTATATTACAAACTTAATTGGTATTTTTTTATTATTATTATCGTTATTCCTATATATTATTATTATTTTATTATCCTTGGTGTTCAAGCTCAGAACTTTGAACTAGTGCACAATTGGCATAACTTTTAGTTGCAGCAGTTTTGTTCCATGCAGAAACACGGTGTTGAGAAGCCTTTACGATTAATTAATGGTGACAAATTAAAGCACAGTTAATAGTGAAATCAGTTTATGGTTGCATCCCTACTTTAAAATAAAGATGGCTTTATTTGAATTGACTTTTTCAGAATCGTAAATTGTACGTTTTTTAAAAACAATTGTGAGTATTTATTAATGCAGAATGGCTGATGTTTTCTTACTATACGCACAACCATTCTCACGTAGAGCTGGATTCTACAGTGTATTGTCAATGGTGCCAACCACAATACCATGATAAGCAGGCTCTTTATATGTATAAGCGCTCAGTGAAAAGCATGAATTGATGCATGATAATCATTGTACCAAATCACAGTCATATATGTTGAGCGTGATTGAAACACTGGCCAATCGGTGGTGTATAAGAATCTACTCAATAGTTCCACAAGTGTTCGTTGAAAATTGATATTTTAATTTCAGCTCTGACTGGTGTCAAATTTTAATACATTTGAGGTCACATCTGTTCCACATCTTCAGCTTCTCTGTCTGGTTTATGGGCTATAGTATACACTTTTTGTAATGCAGTTGGAGGGCAAATTGAAACAAAAAACAAGGAAAAACATCATCCAGACAGATTGATCTGTGCATTTCTCTTTGACAGTTTGCCCACTGGACCATGCAACTAATGGCAAATGCCTTCCTGTGTTTATATAGCTGTGTCTGAAGTGAGCCACTCCTTGAGTCAGACCATGGTGCGGTTCAGCACAGGAGACCTCAAACCAGACCTGATGGCCACTCTCAAGTGTCAGCCTCTTGACCCCATCCTGGCATCTGCCCCTCGACACCCACCATCCTGCACTGTGTCCAAGGGCTTCAATGGTGAGATTCACTCTACCAAGGTTTCCTGTTGAGCTGAGTTGTCGAACACATGAACCATGAGTTAAATATGGCTTGTGTAGGAGTCCAAGCTGCCCTGCAGGAAGAGTTTTATTTATACTGTTGGCTAGGGTTGTGTGATAAGTATAGTGTGTGATAGAAATGCAGCAAAATGGAAATTTTGGATGAAAAACCTTTAGAATTGGAAGATATTAACTAATATGAAGGTCAATAAATATAAATCTTAATATGAATACTCAAACTTAATAGAGTGGAGGAACTATGACGTCACTTTGTAGGTTAATCGGCTGCTAGCATTAATACAGGTTCCCTCGTGAAAATCCCTATAGGATTTTCCTATAGGGTTTTCGAAGATTGCGAATAATAAGCTCTGTGTTCAAACACTGTTCATTACACTTACACGTTTTGTTCAGCTGGATAATTGTCACACGAAAATACAACTTTGAGCACTTTTGGATCTTAAATGCAAACGCAAGACTTGAAAAGCTAACATTAGGCTATAAACGGACTACAGCGCCCTCGGGGCGCTCGTCAGTGACGTCAGCCCCACCCTGCTACAGACGACTTAGCAAGCTTATTTTTTAGAAATAATGTCCATGACAAAGAGTTAATCTCTCTGTTTATTATATTATAATCCACGCTATATATTATAAACTAATAAATACGCAAACACACATAGACCTTTGTGCCTTTTGGATCGTTTTTACGTGGGAAATACATCTGTTTTGCTTTGCGGTTGTTCTAAAAATTTTTAAAATGTGTATAAATCTGCCTATATAGTATTATTATGAGACATATTTAACTAAGTGTATCGCTCGCGTGCACACAGTCTGCTTACCTTAAACAGACGACAGAAATGGGGCGTGAGGAGAAACAAGTCAATCAAATGCCTGCAAGTTCCATTATCATGGACACAGAGCAACATTTAATATTCCTTTTTTGTCACGAAGTACAGCGAAAAGCAGCATATACGGTCACATCTGCTATACTTTTTATGGAGGAGTGTAAAAACTGCTGTTAAATGTGTTCAGATAAAGAAAAAAAATTAGAAATTACTTGATCACGTTAAAATGACAGTTAACATGCATGTATTTTTACACATTTATCCACATATTTGCATTACAGTGAGCAGGAAAGAATCAGGCTGCACTGGTAAGCAGTATCTTCATAATATCGTTTAATTAAAATAAATGATCAACAAATTAGTCTGTCTCGACAGCCTTTACATGTGAATGAATTATCTACACACAATATGAATTCTCAATTAGAATAATTCAACAAACTATAAAATACTATTCCTGAAAATACCTAAATCACAGACAAATCCAAACGCCCAACACAAGCGAGCTGCGCTTCAGACCAGATCAGCTCGATGACGTATAATGTCCCCGACGCCGCCTGTAGTCCCAGTTAGCTACTTGATAGCAACCGTCTTTTTAAAAAAGCATAATCGATTTAAAAGTTGAAGAGTGTGCTGTAACTGATGTGTTTTATGTTGTAGAACAAAATGTGAAAGTATCTTGAGTTGGTGTTAGCCACAGACCTTATTTAAGCGATTTTACTGAAACCCTACTCTAAAAACCCATTGACTTTGGGACGAGGGAACCGGAAGTGCTAAAATGCTAACTCGCTTCCGGGTTTTTGCATACAAATTGACGTCATAGTTCCTCCACTCTATTACAAAAACATATTTAAGCTGATCTTTTGACATCAACCCTTCATGGTTTAGCCAGGGGGAATAATTCATAATTTATCAGATGATTATTTATTTTCTTATCTAGTTGATGATGATAAATTTAAAAACAAGCATTGATTTGCCAATAACTTCAGACTAGGACTCCTCTATTATGAAAAATGATTTTGCTCAGTATTGTAATAATGATTATTTAAAATGTTAATCAATAGGTCATATAACCAAAACTTTTGTGATTGATTTAATTAGTCAGTATCGATTTATTATGTCAGTCGGCAGCAGGATTATAGCCTGATGTCACTTCAGAGCCGCACAGATCTGATATACTGTTATGCCAAGTTCAAACTGCACAATTATAGCCAGGATTTTCGACAAATGCCCGATACCACAGGAAAATCGGTGCTCATTCATGTGATCAAAGATGCAATCTGAGAGAACTGCAGATGAGTCGTAGCTGAATTGCCAACATCCATGAGATGTTTGGCATGCTAAATATCTGGAGCTGTTGTCAATTTAAATCATGGCATGTGAAATGTGTTCTGATTGATAATAACATTGGTTATTACCTACAGCCAATGAGAGAGCAGCAGTAAACTGGGGGACCACAATATCAACAAGCATGGCTTCGGTTCTAAAAAAGGCGTACTTTTTCAGTTTATTTAAACTTGGTCAAAAAAGAAAAAAGTATATGAGAAACTTCAAAAGCCAGGTGAGCAAAATAAGTACATTTTTACCCCACTAAAGGCTTCTTTTTCATATTTTGGTAGCACACATTAATCTAGATTAACCTAGATTAATCTAGATAAAAAAATAATAATCTATGCCTATAAAATAAACATACCGTTTGTTTGAAAATAACATTTTTTGTCTTCATTACTGCGAACTTATATGAGCAATTATATCACTAAATGTGGAGGGGGGCCTTACAATATTTTCTAGGGAAAAAGGAAAAGGTTGGGAACCACTGGTATATTGCTAAGGGCAATGTACATCCAGGGGGCGCCAGAAATGAGCGTGGTTATACTGGTTTTGTTTTCGATATTCCTGGCACATTCAGTTGTAGACAGCAATAACTGAAACCTCTTACCCTAAAATAGGGCTGGGCGATTTTTCCGATTTTTTTTTTTTTTTTTTTTTTTTTTTTTTTTTTTTTTTTTTAATTAATTAATTCGAATTTACGTTTTAAGTTGATTTAATTTTGAATGAAATCGAAAAAATCGCGATTTTTAAAAATATATATATTTAATACATTATAATGGCACCAATGCGCTTGGGTTCACTTTCTTTATGAAGCAGGAAGCACACCAGAAGCGCCTCTCGGCGACGCGACGCACAGCACCACGCCATGGGTTTTAGAAATTCTAAACGGGTTTCTATACACACACCGGCGCCACCCAGCCACGATTCACGAAGCAGTTCATATTTCAGCCGGCCCACAGAGCGCCATCTGATTAGTTTCATGTTAAATATCATGTGAATGTGCGTGTTTGGTGTGTGATAGTTTAAACTTTTATGTCCGCGCCGTGTCGGGGCGCTTCTGGTGTGCGACCTGCTTGACTGCCTGTTAAAGCGTGAAGTCATGTAGGATTTTACTTGTTGCACGTCTGTGTGGATTGTCAAGACATTCCCTCATCAAGTCGATAAACTCGATCTCAACATGTATGAAGGACGTAAACGCCTGCCATTTGAAAAACCGCGCTGATCTTTTGGTTTGAACACGAGCAGAGGTGAGGGACTGTAGCAGTGAAAATGAAAGTACCCGCCCCCATGACGTCATTTAGCGGACCTGGTTAAAAACCAGGTAGATCTGGCAGCATAATAGAGAGTGGAGCAAAGCACATCAAATGGTCTGTATTTAAAAGGGGGAAAAAAGAAAAATAGATTAAATATATTATTTTATATTCGACACATCTGGTACTTGTATTTGCTCCTACTAAATGTCCACAACTTCACACATTGGGTTAAATTAGGCTTTACAGTTTCCATGTTCAGTCCTTTACTTCCACTGTATCTTTTTAAGAAAAAGGCAGCAGCTTTACAACCTGTCATTTAATCAGAAGACAAAGTCAAAGCCGAGCTGATCTTTCTTAGGCTCAGCAAAACTTGCAAAAATACCTCTGTATTCCTGCAAGTGCAATATTTACAAATATTTCTTATTCAAATCTTCAGCAACGCTGTTTAACTCATGAATTTGTTCATGACCGATTTTTGTATGACATGGCCATTAAAAATACAATGTTCCTTAACCAGATGGTTTTTCAAGTTACTTATAAAGAGAATGCTACTTCAGTCATGTTGTTGTAATGTTTTGAGAAGACTAGTAACACAGTAAAATAAAAAATCGAAATCGTGAATCGGTCAAACTTTATAAAAAACCTAGATTTTTTTTTTTTTGCTAAATCGCCCAGCCCTACCCTAAAAAGATCTAAAGTGTATCTCCTACAAAAAGACAAAGCTGGTTATGTTTCACTGCTGTTTTTTTCTTTTTTATTCGCTCTGCATTACTACCACTGCTCCATTTAAGCCTTTGCAATATGCGCTGAGAGAAGCTCTCAGTAAGGGACCGTCAAAAAAGTTTTTATTTATTTATTTGTTTATTTATTTTGCTCTGCTCATTGCAAGCTCTCCCGGCTAAAAGCATATTGCGAGGGCTTGTGTGTGTGTGTGTGTGTGTGTGTGTGTGTGTGTGTGTGTGTGTGTGTGTGTGTGGTGCTGTTTGTTTGTGTATGTGTGTGAATGAGAGACAGTGTGGTGTCTGTGTTTATACAGACAGCTTGTTATAGCCTTCCCCCAAAATATAACACTGTGTATGGAAAGCATTGTCAATGCACCGTGATGCACCAAGATATCGAATTTTACCGAATCAATGGCATGATGATCGTAACCGAACCGTGAGACCAGTATAGGTTCACACCTCTATTGATGATTTTTTCAATAGTAAAGTCATGCATTGTGAAGCCCCCTGTCACCAATCCATCTTCGACAGAGTGCTACAACAGATAGTCATGCAGTGTGAAAACATCTGTCACACAACTATTTTGAAAATCTCACAGTCTGAACTCGGAAGCTTGATTTTTGTGCCAAATCACCAAGCTTTGCATTTTGACTTTTTTTTTTTTTTGACCATTTAGGTGCATTGTTAAGTTAGAATTACTCTATACGTATATGTTCTGCTTGTCTCTGGTGCTGAGCGCATGCAAAAGTTCTCGTTGCTTTGAAAAACACAAATAAATCTACTTCCCATGCTGTAAAAGTCAGGATAGATGATTTTACTGATTTCCATGTGATA